CCCCCCCCCCCCCCCGTAAACGAGAATAAATTGAAACGGATAAACATGAATTTATTTCGACGTTTCCGAATTCACGCTTCTGATTTTTCGAATCCATTTCAATCTATGAATACATCTAATTTCAACATGATGGTTAGCTCTTTCGTATTTTAATTTATATTTCAATAAAAAAAAATATAATGCGGACATGAGAATCATCCAAATTCAACATGATGAATAGCACATTTCGTATTTCTATCCGTTTGAGTTTAAAAATACTTATGTCGTAAATAAGTTAGCCATGAATACATCCCAGTTCAAAATTATGAATAAGAACAGTCCCGTTTTGAATTCACTTAATTAAAAGAAAATTTTAACATAGCTAATTTGTAAGTGAATACAACACAGTTCAAAATTGTGAAAATATACACTTTTGTTTAAATAAAAAAAGTTATGACGGAAATGTGTAAGCCCTGAACTTATATTCGAGCACAGTATTGAACAGGAATATTACTGTTTCGATCGAAATGAATATAAAAATACTTTTTTTATTTGTAAAGAAAAAATTATAAATGTTCGTGAAGAGAAATCAATTTATACGCCCTCAGATATCAATACATTTCAATTCATTTCAATCTAGCTTCGGGCTCTAAAGCGCGAACTTAGATAAATTAAAATTAATTGCAATTTTTAATTCATTTCAATCTATTCTCGTTTACTGGGAAAGTCAAAAGATTTGAGTGTGTTTAATAATCCTCATTATGCGTAGAAACCTTTTCTAATTTCTACGAGTTTATTTTAAGTGGTAAATTCATTTATTGTAGGAAGGCGAAAGATTTAAGCGTGTTATCGATTAAATTAAAGTTTTTCGTGGTTGACCTTTCAGTAGTAGGGTTCAGTAAACTGATGCAACTTATTTAAAATAAAAAATAAAAAATATATAAAAAAGATTCCAGAAACTTATTTAAAATTTAAACTCGTAGGGGTCGGTAAAAACTGACTAATATGACTTATTTAAAATGAAAATAGATCTCAAAAATTTATTTAAAATAGGAAATATACATGATGTCCAGAGGTCCTTGAATATCCTTGGATTCTGGAATTATGCTGGAACTTTATGTATTCTGGAAAATTCCTGGCAAATCTCTGAAATTTCAGGGCTGGTCTGGAATTTATCTTTTATTCTAAAAAAAATCAGTATGAAAAAAAGGAATAAAAAAAGAAAAGTTACGTTTAGATATAAGTCCTTCTTTAAAGATGCAATAAGTTACTAACAAAAAACTTAGAATTTTAATGTCTGAAATAGAATATAGTAGAAAAATCATTTATGTTGATGATATATTTGTTTTATGTTATTTATATAGCAATAAGTAATATTGTTCCAAATTTGTTAACGTTTTAATTCATTCGTATAGAATCCTAACTTGAATACAAAACATAATATTGCACGAATCGATGAAAATTAATTAAATAATAGAAATTAATTGATAGGATAAATCCTGCAAAAACCAAAGTTGTTACCTGAAATTTTCTGAAATTATCCTTGAATTGACTAGCAAGATTTTACTGGACATCATGATATATATATGTATTTTAAATAAACATTCTAATATAAAATAGTTTTGATTTTGTTTATTTGAAATACATTTCAGTTTTTACGTATAGCTATAGCTATTATGGTGTTAAATACACAGGGAATGGGAAGTTACTTTTTAAAAGTAACAAGTTAGTTACTCATTACCGAGTCGAAAAAGTAACAAGTTATCGTTACTAGTTACCGATTTTTAAAAGTAACTCGTTACAGTTACCGTTACTTGAGAAAGTAACTTTTTGTTACTTTTCCGTTACTTTTTTAAAACCGACAATCGCCAATCACAGCGAACGGGCCTAGGGACTTTCTAGTCTCAAGCGCTATGCACTGTAAAAAATTTTTGTATAAAATTACAACTATTATATTATAGTGGGTAATTTTGATACCCATTATAATAGTTGTAAACGTCTACGCGTTTGTAAATTTACAATATGCAAATAAAAATAATTTCTTGATTTGTAACTAAGCAGATTATGGAAGTACAATTACAATGTGTATAGGAATGATAATATGACAATACATTTTAAACTATATTATTATTCATTTAACAACAATACGCGAAAAATTATTGTTATATTACGTATTATTACTAAAATTTGGATAATTACAGACAATATTCAAAATATCCTGCTATTTACATACTTTTCCATATAAAATAAGATATATTTACACAATAAAAGCAAATGTACATAATTTTTGTGGAATTGCATGATTTTTTATATTTACAGGACTAATCATAATTTTTACATCTATTATATAATATATTAATTTACGAATTTTTTTTACAGTGTGAGTGGCTT